TTGTATGATGTTGTATGTTTGTATGATGTTGTATGTCTGTATGTTGATTTAGGTTGTTTGTGGACAAGATCACACCTTGTTTCTGACCGCGGCTGGAGAGTTGTACAGCTGTGGGATGGGAGCTGATGGACAGACAGGTGGGTAGATTTGATGTATCACATACATGTGATGTCTCCTTATTTCCTAGGAACATCTCCTGTATAAACTCCTTCTGAAGCATCAAAATCTCCCCATGATTGGATATACTGTTGGAAATTCTTAAGTTGTCAAAAAATTGAAATAAAAAACCAATAAGTAAGTTTCTTCTATTTAGAAACAATGGAACAATAGTAATGACATACCAGTAAGCATTCTTTAATTTATTAATATTTTTCAACATAAAAAACCTTAATTGAAATCACCTTTCAGTGGGAGAGAAAAAATCTCCCTACAACGAGTCCAGAAGTTAACACACATAGGATTTCATTTTACTACATTTGCGTCACACTAATTATCCAGCTTCGTTACCCATAGGTCTAGGTCATTATAACTCTGAGCACCGTCCAACCCTAGTACAAGGTGACCTTCAAGGTGTCAAGGTGAAGGACATAGGTGGTGCTGTGGACTGTGTGCTGGCCGTATCTGATAAAGGAGAACTTTTTGGTTGGGGAAACTCGGAATACAACCAGCTGTCGATGATAACAGAACACACACAGGTCAATGTACCCAGACATTTACCTGTGCACAGCTGTGGGAAAGTAAAGAAGGCGGTCGCTGGAGGATCCATGTGTGCAATGTTAACAGGTAGATTAAAACAGGTAGATTTAACAAGGGTGGCATTCGCGTATCCCGATTGAAACGGTTCAGGTGGTGCAGAAATATTCCATGATAAACAAACCCACTTGAACCAAACTGTAGACAGAGCTACAGAGGAGAATAAATAACAATATATCAAGAACAATATGTTCTTCTTTCACGCATCCACTAAATTATATAACGTATCTTAAATTGACAATTGACATTGTTTACAAAATAACTAGCAAAAGTCAGCATTTTAGTTTCGGTCA